AATCAGAATCACCGCCCCCCCCCCAAAAAGTAGTCATTATTACCTTAATATACAGACAAAAAACCTGAAGGTCAAAGAGACCAAGGAATTCACCCAGGGTCATTCAGGTAAATAAGTAGCAAGTAACAGAGCTGGCATTTGAACCCAGGTTTTCTGACACTCCCACTTCCCCTCCCCCACCCTTGCCCTGGCCCCCTGGATCACTGTCTTGTCATGGCAGAGGGGGTTGTGTAGCTCAATGAATTATGCCATGATTTAAACGATAATCCTAAATTTTGTGTTCAGTCATTTTTCAGTCATGTCTGACTCTTTGTGACTCCATTTGGAGTTTTCTTGGCAAAGATATTGGAGTGGTTTGCCATTTCCTTCTCCAGCTCATTTTAAAGAGGAGGAAACTGAGGCAAACAGGGTTAAGTGACTTACCCAGGTCACGCAACAAGAAAGCATCTGAGGCCCAATTTGAACTCAGGAAGATGAGTCTTCCTGACTCCAGGCCTGGCACTCTATCCACTGAGCCACATAGCTGCTCCAAATTCTAAACTATTGTAATCTAAAATCAATTCTAGATTGAGACAATTAGTATTTAAATCATAATAAATGTCCCCCAAACCCAATTTGCTATGACATGTGGCTTCTTTAACTCCTTTAAACATCTTAACTAGGTGTCAACAAATTAAATAGCTTATAAAAGTGGATTTGAGACCTCTGAAAGCTCATGCCTGCTCCACATCAGAACAGCAAAGGCACCTATTGGCTGTTCCTCATCATTAGAGTCCTGTGGACTGCCAATACCAGCTTATCTTTGTCTATTTCTCTTCTGAACTTCAAAATGTTCCCCTTTCAGATTATGGCTCCAAGCCTCCTGTGAGTTCCACTACACATCTGAAGCTATGCCAAGCTGAGGCACAACACGCCCACTGTATTTGTAAAAACTGAAAGTATTACATGAGGGATTAGACTGTTAGTTATATCAGCCGGGGCAGGAATCCCACTCTTGGTCTACAATACACCAAGTACTTTCTCTTTGAACAGCAACTGAAATGCTACTATTCTAAGAGATACTGTATTCAAAAGGAGATAGATAGTGAAGAAAGTTGCTTCTTGATGAAGACTTATCTCTGGAGCAGTGAAACAGTATTTACTGTGTTTATCCATCCTATGTTTTGTGAAGGGATTTATACTGAACTGTTTGCAAAGACTTCCCCCCAATTCATTGAGAAATGGCAGGTTTAAGAAAAGATGGGTTATCATCCTGTTAAAAAAAAAAAATACCAACACACAGAGATCTCAGTACAAATATACAAAGAAGTTAGCTTCTTTGAGACAGATAAAATGTATCACTAACGTATTATATACCCTCAATGCCTTTCAATCCAATCTGTCACAAGATGAAAAGGAAGAAATCATAACTTCTATAAGCTAGAATTATTTCATAAATTTATAATAAATATGCAATAAAGTGACTTCCCCCCCCCCCAAAGTAAAATGCCACACTGGCAAGCCTACTACAGCTAAAGGAGGCAACTTACGTTGGAAGGGAAGGGAAAGGAAGGGAATAAGTAAGCATTTATATATCATTAAGTACTTTACAAATATCATTTCATTTGATCCTCACAACAGTCTTGTGATAGTCGAAGAAACTGAGGAAGGCAGAGATTATGTGACTTGCCCAGTCACACAGATAGGAAGTGTCTGAGGCCAGATTTGAACTCACTCACAGGCCCAAGGCTGTATTCACCTTGCAACCTAGCTGCCTTGTGACATTGGCTATATAGGGCAATGGTGTGTCATGGTGAAGAGCACCCTGGACTGGAATACAAGGTCCAGATTAAATTGGGACTGTAATACTAGATGTTCAACAATGATGAGGTCACTCTCCAAACCTTAGTTTACTTTTGTTGAAAATGGCAGTATTTATGCTACTTACCTCAGGCCTGTTTCCGAGATTCAAATGGGATAAAATTATATAAAATGCTATATGTGAACCATTGGTAAGGGTTGGAAAATAAAATGTGACTTATCTATGATACATTCCGTTGGTAGTTATACACTAACTGCCCCCAAAGAGAAATCATTCTCCTTAGATTTGGGTATTCAGGATGCCTTCAAGGTGATTTTTTTTCCTGCCTTACTTTGTAGTTCAGAGGGAACTAGGTGGCACAGTAGAGCACTGAGCCTGGAATCAGAAAGGTCTGAGTTTAAATCCTACTGCAGAAGTCATTTCATCTGTACCTCAGCTTCCTCAACTGTAAAATGGGGATAATAATAGTACCTAACTGCCGGGAGTGTTGTGAGGATCAAATGAGATAATATTTTAAAAAGTGATTAGCACAATGCCCGGCACCTAGTAGGCACTATAAAGGTTTATTCCCTTCACTTTCCCCTTACATGCCTCGGTAGCGAGCAGATAGGCTAAGCCCACCAAGAGTGTGTTTACTTTGCACTCCTAAAACAGTCAAAAAGTGGACATTTTTTAGAAACGGGGAGCTAACATAGATGGAAAGACAGCCTGGGGTCAGAAGACCTGAGTTCAAGTCCCACTTCCAACATAGGAGTGGTATGACCTTGGGCAAGTCATTTAACTTCTTGGTGCCCAAGGCAACTTCCTAAGACCATAAATGGCAGAGTAGTTGCTGCATTGGTCAACACATCACAGTTCTATTCTTCCCTTACCCCCCCCAAAAAAAGGAAGGGGCTATTTGGGAAAATAGTTTCCTATCTATGGAGGTATCTAAGCAGATGCTGGAAAAGCCCTTATTGGGAATGCTATCAAGCAGGTGTTCTTATCCTGGGAGCCACAGACTTCCTAGATTTCACAACCTGGATGAGAAAAAAGATGCTATCTTTATTTTCACTTAACCTCTAAAGTTAAAGCATTTTTTTCACTTATGAACATAAGCAATGAACTGCAGTAAAATTTGCAGTCTCTATGACTTTGTTACCAATAGAAATCAGATATTTTCATATTACATTGCAGTTATTAGATATCTGGAAATATCTTTTACCCTTGTCACTATTCGGAAAATATTGTAGTTATTCGACCTACCACTAGATATATGACTACAATTCAAATGTTTTAAAATATTTTCATAACTGTATCTTAATGTAACTCAAACATCAAATATATTTAATGCATTTAAAAACATTGCATTCTGAGAATGGTCCATAGGCTTCAACAAGACTGTTTAAAGTCTGTCTGTCTATCTGTCTCACACACACACAACACACACACACACACACACACACACACACTTAAAAACCCCTGATGTAGGGGGAATTTATGCTTTTCCTAAGGGTTTGAACTAGATGAACTCTGAGGTCCATCGAAGATTGAAGTTCAAATATCACTTTAGACAATGACTGTGACTTTGGACAAGTAACTTGAACTCTGTCTGCCTCTGTTTCCTCATCTGTAAAATGGGGATAAGAATAGCACCTATCACACAGGGTTGTTATAAGGAACAAATGAGTAAACATATATAAGATACTTTGCAAACCTTAAGAGTTCTATATTAATGCTAGTACATATTATTCTGTGACTGTTACATAAATGGATACATATCAAATGACGAATACTGACATCTCTGGTATGTAACTGCAGAAAACGCTGCACTTTGGTCAGACTGGCTCAGATTTACACAATTTTCATGCTCACAAAAACTGGGCAGTTTCCTCTAGTGATGGGGGAAGGCACAAAATGTATCAGATTCAAGGAATGCAATGAAAATGCTATGCTGGCAAAAATGAAGACGTTTTGTCTTTAAAACATAACTTGTTTGCTACAAATTGAAAATGTTTTTAAATGCACAAAGCATTTGTTAAAAACAAAAAAAACTCCTACCAGAAGACTACTTTGAAGACATATCTCAGATTATGACCTAAATCTTTGGAATTTTACTACTGGAAGGACTTTGGAAATTCTGGGACATGGCTCTATGCCTTCCTCTTGTTCTCTAAATTTCTACCAATAGTAAACAGAAAATTGAGCTGAATCTCTACAAAACAAACTACAAAAAGCAGAGTTATTTCCCTGTGGCCATTGCCAAGTCCTGGCAAATTTGCCTTCAAAATATTTCTCTGTTCTGATCCCTTCTCTCCTCTAACTGCTACTGTTTTGGTGCAGGTCCTCACCACTTCACTCCTGGACTAGTGCAAAAGCCTTCAGTTTAGTCTCCTCACCTCAAGCCTCTCTCCCCTCTAGCTAACAAAGCTATCTTCCAAAAGCCCTGGTCCAAATCTGTCATCCTTCCTCCCACATTTAATAAACTCCGGCGGCTAGCTATGGCCTCCGGGACCAAATGAAAAATCCTTTGGCTTTTTAAGGCCCTCCCTTAACTTGGTCACTTCCTACCTTTCCTGTCTTTACTGCCCTCTTTGTACATCACGATGCACACGAATTGGCTCCTTTGCTATCCCCTGCACCACTGTCCATCTCCCCACTGCATTTTCACTGGCTATTCTCCATGCTTGGAATGCTCTTCCCCCTTCACTCACATCCCCTGGCTTCTCTGGCTTCCTTGAAGTCTCACCTAAAATTCCACCTGATGCAAGAAGCCTTTCCCAATACCTCCTAATGCTAATGTCTTCCTTCTGATATTACGTCCAATTTACCCTGTAAATCTCGTATTTGTACATAGTTGTTCGCATGTTGTTCCCCTCCCCCTTTAGGCTGTAAGCTGCTGGGCGGGGGGGGGGGATCCTTTGTCTGTATCCCTAGTACTTAGCACAGTGCCTTGTGCCATTTCTTTCTTTATGAATTAATATTTAGAATGTATTTAAGCACTTAATAAATGCTTGTTAACTGACTGCTGTCTTTGACTTTGCAGAATATTGTTTTTATTTTAATACACAGCATGGACTCCATACATATCTATCATCAGTGCCTTTACACCCAGACAACTTTAAAAGTTAGCAGAGTTTCTGCAAGTACAAAAATACACATTTATTCCATAACATATGGTAGTAAAATTTATCAAGATATATTATACAAACTCAAAGCATCTTAGATAAAGCATCAGTTTAATATATTATAAGATGACAGTATCATAAAATGACGTGTGTTCTGCCTGCGAATCATACAATAGGACACTTTACAGCCATATTAACAAACTATTCACATTTAAACATCAAGAGAACAGCTAAGGAAGTACAAGATAATTTATACCCAATAGGAATGGTTACTGAAGGGACTTGGCATCTAGCTAACAGTATTTCCTTCTATACTTTAAATCAGATTGTTGGATTTTTTTTCTGTTATGACATAAAGGGGAAAGATTGGAACTGTGGAACCAAATTTTCATAAGCAGAGAGCAATTTCTTTCCAAAAGGATATTACAAGCCACAATCACCACATTCCCATCCACAGCTTTGACAGCAGCATTTCCTTATGGCAATGGAAGCCTCTGGTAATTTCACAGACATCATTGTAACCATACCACAAGAGATACACATGCACAGACATTTATGAGGCTTAATATAAGTGGTCATAGGGCAAAACTGGCATCCAATCTTTGACTGAAACTGCCAGTTTGTAAAGAATGGGGATCTTTCCAAATTTGACCAGGTCAACTTTAGACATTAAGCTTATTGATGGACAGAGAATCATGGTCTTGTGGGCAGGGACAGGGCCACATCTTTAAGTACAAAAACAGGGATTTTGAGGGAAAGGGTTGTTATTTTCTGTCTTTGTATCCCGTCTTGGCATACAGCACGGGCTTAACAAATGTTTGATGAATTGAATTGAAATGAACAGAAGGAAGTTGAAGGATTTTTGTTGCCTCTGAGAAAACTCTGTTCTGCCATTGAAAAATGCAGTCTGGGTAAGAGAATATGTCTGATAGTAAATAGCAAAGGAAGAGGTGCTTGCCTTGAGAAGTTTCCCCTTAACTGGATGGAGAAAGATCATGGGAAATGGCTAGTTCCTGGGCAAATAGTTCATGTGGTGGTAGAACAAAGTGACAAAATGAGTTCAGTGCAATTTTCCATGGGTAGGTATTGAGATGTGCCTGACCAGAGAGCCTGTCAATGAAAAGGGCACATCATAAGGCTGAAGGGCTGAACCCTGTGGAAAATTATGGAGGCAGTTCCATTTTAGAGTCTGTGAGTTTCAAGGTGTGTGGGGTGGGGATCTTTCCGAGAGTAAATGTTCGTGTTGGATGGCAAAACTAGGTAATGAGGCTGCCAGCTGAGGAGAATCGTGAGTGACTATTCTAAGGGAAGCCAAGTGCCCAAAGATGTATAGTGGTGAGCCAGGTTAAAAATAACGAAGACCAAACTTTCCTTTTCCATAAACTTGAGGTGGTCAGGATGCAGAAAAATTTGTGGGAATCAGAAAGGCAGAGGCAAGATTACTCTCAGAAAAGCAGGGTGTGCCTTCCTTCCCATTCCCTCCAACCTTCTTGTCTTTGCTTTCAGAGACCCCATATACCCTGAGAAGCAGGAATTGGGATGGAACAGCTCTTTCTGGGCAATTGGACAGCCTGGGAAGAGATAAGCCAGAGGCACAAGGAACAACATCTTCAGGACTCTGAATTAATGATTAAGACCATGTGTGCAAGGTGAGCAGGACTGTTCAAGCAGATGTCATGAGTGGTTGCACTTTTGAGTTACAAAGGACAAGATACCCATTTGATGAAACAAATGTTGATTGGGCGCCCATCATGGTGCAAGGCACTAACCTTGCTGGGAGTCCTGGTGGGGAGGGGCAGCTACAGTGAAGACCCCCACCGCTGTTCTTGAGGAACCCACAGTTCAGGCACAGGGAGAAGACAAGAAAATAAAAACCCACCAGTACAAAGTAGGATGGGATGAATGCCAGGAGAGAGTTAAACAAAGTGCTCTGCTGGGAAGGAGATGTCCACAAGGCCGTGGAAGACAGGAGTTCCTGTTGCTGATACCCTGGCCTATGAAGAACCTATTGGAATTGCTAATGTGTATCAGCCTTTCTCCTTATAGCTCTGGCTTTTGGGGTCTTTGTGAATTCTCAAGATACTCTCTTCTTCCTAATCTAACTTGCACAAAACCTGAGTGCAGGCTGGAACCCTGCTTTCCATAAGAGAACAATGAAAGCGACCAAGAGGATGAGAGCAGCAATTATCAAAATAAGTAAAACATCTTACTCAAATGGAAAATAATATTTTTTTAAAGTACTTTCACAGTAAGCATCTTTACATCGAGCTTTTGTGTACTTGCAGGGGTTGTTTATATACATATTTTTTTCCCCTTTCAATGGGAAGGTGTGGTTTCAAAACCTGGCTCTGCTATATATTAACTGTGTGACATGGGTAAGTCTCACTTAACCTCTCTGAGTCTCTGACTCATCTATAAAAAGAGAAGACTGAACTAGATGCAGAATTCCTTCTAGCTTGAGATACTGTGACCCCATAGTCAAAGATGATGACCAGAGACCTCAGCTGTTACTGTCCTCATAGTGCCTGGATGGCCACTGCTCCCCGGGATTTTCTTCAGTTCCAGCTGTTCCTGCACCCTCAATCCAAACACTTCATGGAATAGGGATGATTTCTGGCTCCCGGTTCCCACCTAGCTTAATTTGCTGCTCTATGACATTAGTCTTGGGCTACTGGTCACAAGATGTTGACATAAGACTTCCCTCAATAATGTGCCTCTTCCCTCTGGATGACACGAATATCTCAGAATGTATATAAATAGGGACTCATCTCACTACTGATTATAAAAGAGAAGAACTACCCAAACACCCCAGTGACCCAATTTTAGAATACAGAGGAAAGACACATTCCCTCTCCCTCCCCCACAAAGGACTTTAATGCCTCTCAAAAAGATCCTTTTATTATGCTAAAAGTAAACTGGGGTTGTCCTTAGGCTGCCTACACCATGCATCTGATTAAGGAATATGAACCAGCCATTCCAGTGGGTGTCACAGTCTACTTTGGTTAAATGTCTTTGGTTCTATGTCCCAGCCCATCACTACAAGCCACTGAAGTCTCTGGACACCCAGCACTGGGGGCTGGGTTCACTATGCTCCCTACTGTCAAAGAGTAGCCGAGTGGGGGATTCTCTGGGGGTTGAGCACCAGGCAAACACTGGCTGTTATTCTCCACTTCCTTGGTTGGCTTCATATGGAGTTTAAGTCTTTCATCCACTGAACTGATTAGTGAGCTACCATGGTCCTCAGAAGCCTGGCAGACATAGGGATTACAAAGGTCATCTGTTTCTACAGAACTGACTAGGTTGGAGGTTGCAGCCACCTGTCTCTCTTGGAGCAGACTGGCTTCTGAGACTTCAGAAGAACAAGTCGGCTGCTCCAAAGCTCCTTTTATGGAATTTGCTTTCTTTCTCTCTTGTCTAGGGGCCTTTGTCTTCTTTTTGAGGGACCAGTTTTTCAGAGTGGCCACTCCATTCCTTAACCATGTGCTAGGCTGAAGAGTTAAGGAATGCATCTGAGAAGACCACTCTACATTGTCTTTTTTAATACAAAGTGGATGGCTGCTGGCTGATTCTGGGGAAGGGCTGAATATCCCAGAAAAAGGGCTGCAGAAGTCAGGAGAGAGTTCCCCTTGTTTCCTTAGGGTTGAAAAAGTGCAATCAACTGGTGAAGAGGTTTCTGTGGGAATAAAGACTGAGTGTTCAGAAATCTGGGAAAAAGCACTATCTTGAGAGCTCACTGAAGAACCCGATGGCGACGTGCCTGGTGATGACAAACTAGAATAGCTAGTTCTTGAGCAAACATTTAACCGTGGTGGAGTAACCTGTAACATCTTTTCTACATTTTGATTTGAGGCATTACTCTTACCCACCTCAATCCCCATAATCAAACTCTGATTAATCAGTTTTTGACCTTCTACTTGCAAAGAGTGGTGGCGCTTTTAGATAATCCTCATCTCCAAGAGAGAGGCCAACATCACAGCCTGTCTTGTGTATGTTCATTGGAGAAACCCCCCTGGGATAGGTGAGCTTGCAGTCTAGGTAGTCTATGTTTGGCTCTGAGCAGCGCCTGTGCCTTTGCAAACTTCTGAGTCCAAGGGTTGTGTTTGATGGGGAGTATCCAGAGTGATCAGGGCCAAGGGTCTGGCTTTTAGAATGATCCTGCAATGAAATGTTACTGTAGGATGCCACAGAAATGGTCACAGGTTTGGATTTGAAGGGAAGTCTCACTGGAGTACCTTCATGACTAAAAAAGGCTTTTTTCTTCACGTTTTGGTTTGCGGTATTTTTCTTCTCCACTTCAGTCTGAGTGACTAAACTAAGCCCTCCTTGTGAGGGCTGGGGCTGTTTGTGATTATCTTCATCTCGGTGGGAGAGAATAGCATCACAGCTGGACTTGCGGAGCTTCTTCTGATAGAACTCCCTGAGATAGGTAAGCTTGGAATCTAGGTAGTCTATGCTGGGCTCAGAACAGCGTCTGTGTCTCCTCCAGTTTTTTAGAGCATCTACTGCAGCTGTGGAGAAGTAACCAAGTGTGTTTGTGCCAACTGGCACGTTCTTGGAGCCGTCTGGTGCTGAAACCTTACTGCAGGATGCCACCGGAATGCTCAATGGCTTGGATTTAGAACGGTGCTTCAGTTGAATTTCTTCATTTTTAGGCTGGTCCAAGTCAAAATCACTCAGAGTTAAAATGCCTTCTGATTCAGGTTGGTCCAAATCACAGTCACTCAGTGTTAAGACAGAGTCCATGCTACGGCTGTCCTGACCCAGCTTCTTTACCAGGTCACTGCATGGAGCATCTACGTCATCATTCAGCTCATTTTCTAAGCTGTCATAGGAAGAGTCATTCATTTGGAAGCCAGATATACCTGCCAAAGAATTAAAATTTGGTTAACTTAAAACTCACATAGGAAGTACTTAACAAGTGTCCATCACAAAATCATACTGATAATACTGCTTTTCTTTTGCAAATTTTGGGGAAAAAAATAACCAAAAATATGTCTTCTTATTTGATTTTTGTTTCCTGAAGCACTGTCCAAACTTTTTCCCAGAAGGAGTAACTTACAATCTTTTGCATTTTAGTTGAAGAACTAGGACACTTAGGCATTATTTTGGCAGACACACTTCTCCTAGTCCTCTGCCTTGTATCTGAGTTCTTGATTAAATGGGCTTCCCTTTAACAAGATTTTCTCAGTATAATAAAGATGAGTCATAAAGCAAAGAAAAAATAAAAAGCAGAAGGTAGCTCATGCAAGAAGGGCCCAGGCACTGCCTATGTCATCTCAGCCTTTTGGAGGAGATGTTAACAGGTAAGTATGGCCAGCCAAGCTTTATGGGCAGATGGTAACTGGGGGGGTGTAGGGAAAACTATCCTGTAGTTTTACCTCAAGAAGGACCTTGGAGAGAATCTCGTTAAGACATTTCATTTTACAGATGAAACTCAGATGCAGAGAGAATGAATGAATCATCTAACATTACAGAACAAATGAATGTCATAACCAAGATTAATGAGAAGCTAGGTCTATAGACTCAAAATTCAGTGCTTTTCCTGACATATCATGCTGCCCACATACTTCTCCTTTGCCAAAAGAAAAGATAAACAGGCCCTGCCATTAATAATTCCTTTGGGCTATGTCATACTTCTCTTGTATACTCCTGGATAGCACCTCAGTAGGAACATAACTGGTGAATGAATTAAGGGTCTTGCAAAAATGCTGGTAGTCTGGGCTTCCCCTAATCCCATCCTAGCTTCCCCTGCCCTTCAGTCTAGTGTTTGGCTCCTTTGAAAGTCTTGGAGCCACTATGTTTTTAGCAGCTTGCAATCCCCCTTGATGGTAGAGCAGCAGCTGGCTGATATAAGGTACAATTTTAGGAAAAAAAAAACAACAATCCAGTGATTCATGATACCTGAGGCATTGTCTCTGTCACAGCTGAGTGAAATATCTCTCAACAGGGAAGTGATTTCTTCTCCAAATATCCTGCAGCAATTTTCAATTAGAAATTGTACAAGTAGAGAGACCTGTGAAAGAAAAAAACAAAAAGGGGACGGCATTTTTCATAGTCTGTGCACCTTGTTTGACATACGCCTTCCCAATCTCACAAAAATATGAGTGGACAGAGAAAATTCACAAGTTTCTCAGCAGTAGCTTGAGGATGGAGTAGAGACAAGAGGATTCAAGACTACTTTTTATTTTCAATCTTTAAGACTCAAAACTATGAAATTATAGACTTTCCATAAGATCTAATCTTAATGCTTTAGTGTCTACAACCTATAAAATTAAGATGACATTAATGTACTTTTAGAAAGATAGGAATGAATTCATTTCCTATTAATTTGTAAAATACTGAGCAGATAAAAATCATTTTAATTCACCTTAGTACCATGGAGAATGGATTATCACAAATGTGGGAAGGAATAATGTCTGTAGTTTGGCTGAAGGGGGTGGAGACAGTTGAAAGCAATCTTTCTTATCTGCCTGGCCACAGAGAGGTGAGTGTGTGTGTGTGTGTGTGTGTGTGTGTGTGTGTGTGTATGTAGATGTGTGTATATCTATCTATGTATCTGTCTGTTTATATGTGGCTTTGGCTGTCATTATGGGCTCTCTGTATGTATGTATGTATGTATGTATGTATGTATGTATGTATGTATATCTGTCTATCTATCTCTGGCCCCCATTTTGGACCGTATGTATTTATGATGCTTCCTTAGTATGCCCTTGGACTATGTCTCAGCTCACACATAGGTAGGATAGCTAGGAGAACATCTAGAAATGGCAACTGAGTTTGTTAGCAATACCATTTGAATGCTCAGCTCAAGGGCCACATCCTACCTGAGTCCCTTCCTGATTCCCCAGCTGCTAGTTGCTCTGCTCCCTCTTCCAGATGACTACACATCTGTATTTTGCATACACTTCTGAATACATGTCTTCCTTTACAGAATGTAAGTTCCTTGAGGGCAAGAACTGCTTTGTTTTTAGCCTGGCATCTGCAGCACCAAGCACAGTGATAACTGTTGAAAGACGACTTAGGAGTCTTTTCTCTTCACAGTTCAGGTGCTATTCTACAGCCCTGAGCTCGAAGGGGAGAAATGACCCACTGCTATTACTATTGGACCTTCTTAACAACCTTCCTGTTGAAAGCTGGGATGAAAAAAACTCCAGATTAAATTCTATCTTTTACAACTTTTAAGTGATGATACACGTGTACATACTAAATGTTAAAAAAAAAATTGGTGCTCAGATTTAAAACACTGGGAGTGTCCTTGGATGCTTAGGGAAGGCTTAAATTCAAGGTACCTTTTTAGTGAATTCATTCTCCAGCTCAGGACTAGCAGTAGATGGTGGCCAAAGAATGCTGGGAGCAATGCACACTGCCAGATTAAAAGCTGTCATTTGATTGGACACAGACTGCTGTTCAATGCTATGCAACATTCCAAATAGATATCGTAGGAGAACGACATTTGCTCTAGGAAGCTGTTCCATTAGCCTAAAAAGTGGAGGAGGGAAAAAAAGGTGTTCTTAAAGCAAATCATTTGGTTTATGAACTATTTTTTTTAAAGAAGAAAAGAGAACACTGTATTTTTCATATGCTATGTTCACAACCCAATGAAAGTGTGAAAGGATGCAGAAATGTCAGTGTTGTAAAAATACGCTGCCTGGAATATTTTTTGGAAACCAATACAATGTGGTTTAACTTAGCTAAACTTTATTCACAACAGAATTTTTATACACACACACACACACACACACATACACACATACACACGCCCCAACAACAATAGTCCTGTAACATTCCAAAGTATGGTGAGGCAAAAAATTCATAAAAGCTTAGTGATGAAATTCAACAGCAATTAAATTTAATGTGTTACTTCATTTCCAAGGGAACAACATTGGAATGCCATCTGTGAATGAGAGCCAACCTTTGCCAGTTAATATCCAAAGAATTCATTCTTTAGTTCCTCCAACTCCTATAATCTGCCTGGGCAAAAGTTACTTCCCTTCCTTGCTCCACTTTCTCATGTGAGTCTGTTCCTCTGCTGTGACCCTGGGCCTTTAATTAATCCTTCATATCCCAGGTAGGAAACTGTGATCCAGCTTCCTAGGGAGAATTCTGAACCTATATTAACATGTAACTTGTAAATGGGACTGGAGCATGATCAATCTGTTTATTTGGACCAGCTTTCCTAACTGGTAACCATCATTAGGGCCAAAGGGGGAGTGTGGAAGTCCTTGAGGACATGTCTTCCCTGCTAAAGGAATGCTGACACCTTTGGGACCAAACTTGTTCAGTGGGGTTAAACACTTTCATTTGCTTGGACTGTGGAGGCAATGGCTTCCCTGGTGTGCCACCTGCTCTGCAGTCCACCTCAGTCTCTGTTTTCAGTCTTCTGACACCTTCTATATCTCTGCTCCTATACCCTAGGATCCAGTAACATTGGCTTCCTTACTGTTTCTCCCACTTCTCAACTCCAAGTACTGTCTTCTTCCTTTTTTAAAATGATATCTTACTTTTCCCCCATTTAGATGTTAAAACAATTTTAAAAATTAAAAAAAAAATTTTTTGAGTTCCAAATTCTACTTCTTTCTCCCTCTTCTCTCCTCTCCCTGAGACAGTAAGCAATCGGATCTAGGTTATAAATGTAATTCCAAATATTTTCATATGTCAACCTTCTCATTAGATTGTGAGATCCTTGAGAGCTTTTCTTTGTATTCCCAGCATTTAGCACAGTGCCTGGCACATGGTGGTGGTTCTGTTTTGTCTGACTTTTTATGACCCTGTTTGGGGTTTTCTTGGCAAATATACTGGAGTGGTTTGCCATTTCCTTCTCCAGCTCATTTTACAGATGAGGAACTGAGGTTCACAGGGTTAAGTGATTTGCTCAAGGTCACTCAGCTGCTAGTAAGTGTCTGAGGACAGATTTGAACTCAGGAAGATGAGTCTTCATGACTCCAGGCCTGGCACTCTATCCACTGCACCACCTACTTGCCCTGCCTGGAACACAGTAGGTCCTTAATAAAAGATAACTAACTGACTGACAACAAACCTATGGATGCTGATTTCTAAATATCTGTATGATTCAGGGACACCCTCCAACTTTCTGTCTTGTGGCCATAGTTTTCGGTGATATTCAGTGACCCCCACTTTCAGCCTTTTTCCCCCTAATTCTTTGTCTTTCCCCTTTCCTGACATTGGCTTCAGATCTAAAGCAGGGAGTTTCTACAAATGATAGTGGGGAAGTGATCAAATACTCAACTTTTCAAAATGCCTGCGAAAAAAATTATACTGAGCAGACATATCTAAACAGCACAAAACATATTGCAGGCACACTAGTGATCCTTGTAGACGTTACACACCACTGAAAAGCATTCTTTGGAAAACGTGGCTTCAGGAAGACCCCTTTCTCCACACCACCACAGTGGCTGACATGAGTGTGCCAGTCTGGCCAGGATTTTTCCCTTGGATGGAGAGTTTCTGGTGGTTAATAATCCTAAAACTCATAATTTTCTAGTTTTCTGGACTCAGCAAAGACAAAGCTTGTCAGCTGATGAGGTCATTTCCATCTGATGGTTTAGATGTGTGCTTTATTGATATCAGAAAGCCAGTAAGATGGGACTTCTACATTATTGATAGCCTTGTGGATTTTGGTCACATATATTATGTCTATTGCAGATTCAAACAGCCAGAGGCTTTGCCATGGTCCTTGCTCTCAAATCCACAGCAATGACAGTGCCATCTCTCAATCTATTTTTCAATGGTTTCTCAAGTGTTTGAAAAAGTAAAGTACTCTCTTTCTAGTAGACAAGTCTTTCCCTGCAATCCTTTCCCATTCTTACAGTCTCCTTTATTTATGTGCATTTTTGAAGAGCACACAAATACCTCTGAACTCTGTTTATCTTCTCTTCATTATTCCCCTGATCCATGATGCAGACCCACTCATCAAAGAGATCGGATGAAAAAATACTTCCTGGAATGTTTCGAAGAAAATCCTTTATAAGAGAAAAGGTGAAAAGAAAAATACTTTCAGGCATCATGTTTATGATGGAGTACATAAATATAACAAAATTTTTAGAGTAAGTACTTTGCAGAGAGTTCAGTACACATACTTCTCCTGTTTCCCTCTCTCCCTCAGTCACCCAGACTCAAGAGGAGGTATTTAGATTTTGGGTCTTTGCCATGACTAATGTAAGCAAATAGGAGGATGCATTATTGTTTCAGTTTTTCCCAGAATAAAAAAAGGGTATAATCAGGATGTGAATTATCATCTGGAGGAGAGGAATGACCACAGCTTTGTAGGAAATCCTACTAAAAATCCACTGATTCTATCTCAGCAGACTTACCTACCAGGACTGTCTGGTTGTAAGCCTACTTATTTACACTACTGCCTTATTTTCCCCAACAGAAGAGATATACACACTATACATATTCCATCTCTCTCCACCCCCACACACCCATCCTTTCATTACTAATCATTAGAGATTAAACCACTTTAATTTTTGCTCCCTTGTTGGGATGCTGTGAGAACTACAAAGCACAATACTTGGGACAAGTATTGGAGAGAAAGGTACTAAATAAAAACATAATATGAAGCCTGCTCCTCGATTTGAATGAGCTCCTCTTTAGAGTGAACAGCTTACAGAATTAGCTCTATTCTCTTAAAAAAAATAAAAAGCACAGAAGATTGGCTTGAAAGGGGTATTAAACACACACATACATGTGTACACATGCGAACACACACACGTGTGCGCACACACACACACACACAAACACACATACCCCCAAGTGTTGACACAAATTTCCTACTGTGTGTCCTCTAGATTACTACAATGTTGTCCCTCACAACTTCTGGAGCCTGAACACACACACATCTGTTGAAATCAGAGAAAATGGAGGGAAATTTACATGCTTATAGTTGGACAGATCCATGACTAGACCTAAATGTAGGGCACTTGGACACAAACAAGGCCAATGGAAATGCTGGCTTACTAAGGGGTGGCCTGGACAATTTACACCACTTCATAAAGTAAAGGTGGTGAGAAAAAACACTTGCTCAGACCTATTAATTTATGACACTTAGACTCTCCAGTGCTAGCCTGAGGAGTAGGTGTGGCATTGCTTTGTTAGGCTATAAACCAGACTACCTCTGTCAAGGGTGTCACAGAATACTAGGCCCAGAATTCTTTGCTTCCATCTGAGGGTGATTAAGGAGCCTGGTACTTTTTCCTGGTAATAATGATCTCAAGAAAGATCCCTGGGGCTTTACTGCATCCATGCCCTACTAGGAGGAACAGATGGTTTACAGCAGAGGTGTCAAACACACAGCTTGCAAAGCTGCCCACAACACTCCGAAGTGCAGCCCAAATCCTATTAAAATGTAATTGAGAAATATTAACAAAATAAATTAAAATACAGTAAAATATAGACATTGTGAATATGTAGTTTTCTAAGTCAGTATGCAGCCTGCAGGGATCCTTATGTATGGTTTAGTGGACTTTGTTTCAATTTGAGTTTGACACTGCTAATTTGTAGCACCCATGAGGTCTTCTTGGTATTCCCTCCAAGCTCTGTCTGGGCCCCCCAGAAAGGGCTTCTTTTCCTGGTTGTCAGGTCAGGGGTGTCCAAGTTCCCTGGTACCCCAAGAGAGGAGGGAAGCCATGGGACCTGAGTATGGAAGTGGTCATCATCTGTCCATAATATCTATTTTTTTCTTTTGTAGTGCTTTCACTCCTTGGTGTTGAAATCACTTCTGTAAATATCAGCCTTTGAATGTTTGTTTGGATTTTGTCCTGTAGTGAAATCTGGCTGGATATAGCAGTGACTCACTCACTCTTTCTGATTAGAATTTGGACCTCTTTTCCCCAGGGTTCTTCTTTCCCTCCCATCATGCAGATTGCTCTCAGTGTCCCATATGTGCTAACTGGCTTATTCACCATTCATAAAGTTGGCTTGCTGCTTTCCTGGTCTATATGTCCACATGCATGCTGAGACATTAGAAGGCCCCTGGGAAATGTGATAGTGGTTTGGAGCATAAGAATATGACACCACGATTCCCAAAGAGGCCTCTCATTAGGGTCCCCAGGAATGAGCCCACTGTCAAACATCTGTTTTTACGCTGGTTTTTTCCTCTTCCTTACCAACCTGTTTCCTGAGTTGAGGTCAATGAGCTCAGTTGGCTAGATCAAAGAAGATATTACATGAAAAGTGCTTTGTCAGCCTTCAAATACTCTATATATGACAGTTCTTTTTTTATATTGTCTTGATGAACCTGGCAGCCTGAGACCTACACAGATCCATACCGGCAATGGAGAATCTGTGTTCTGCCTACCTCTCTAAAGTTACTTTTGAGTTTATTTTGCATGTAGTTTTAATTTACTTCTCTGTGTGAGTGTCATTTCTCTCCTCCCCCCCTCCCCCAAGCAGACCCTATGTTCCTTGAGGAACTTTTGACCTTATCGGTTCAGGGTCTAGCATTGGGGCCTTGCATACAGTAGACACTAAATAAAGAATTGTTCAGAAGGACTGAATGAACAAACTGTATTCCATGGCCAAAATCATACCCAAGGATGGTTAACCACCCTGAAAATGTGTGCTCCTGATTATAGGGTGGGGCTAAGGCTAGAAGAGTTGATCTGCAGATAGGTGAGTAAGGATTAATGCACTGAAGGTAAGTCAACCATAAGGAAATGGTAACCTGAAATACATGTCTTGCTGTGAGTCTCACATGCTTTAAGGAGTGGAGGAAGCATGGAATAGTGGAATGCACTTGGAGTCTTGAGAACCTGGGTTCAAATCCGTCTGTGCTACTTCCTAACTGTGACCTTGGGCAGGTCAAAATCTTTCTGGGCCTCAGCATCCTCAGCTATAAAATGAGGAGGCAAGACCAGATAACCTCTAAGGTTTCTCCTAGCTATAAATGTATGAGCATTTTATCTTGCAGAGGTCAATCCATTGTTAGGTACTGCAGTGACAAGGATAAGGCAGCGACTCTACTAGCTATATTACAGTCAGACCTATTGTTAGGAGGAGTGTAAGCAAATCAGACTCATTGGTGGAAGTAGGGAGACGGTATAAATTACTACATGAACCCACAACACTAACAGACTGGTTTGTAGTCTAACAAGGTCATTATTATTTGAAACAGGGACACAGGAAGGCAACGGTGAACTCAAACTATTAGATGTATGGGTAAAACAAACAAATTTTAAAAACTCCCTACAAAACCTTTAATTTCACCCCATGGCCCACCTAATCTTTGATGAGAGCTATTCACAGGAAGTTACAATATCTTTTGCTCTATTCCACCTTCTGGAAGAACCCAAGACTGGTTCTATCATTGTAGAAGTGACATCCTTCCTCTCTTAAATCTACCAGATTTTCAGGAACACCAATAAGCATTAGGTATTTTAACAGTCAGCTTTAGAAAAGATGCAAAAAAGCAAAAACAAAAAATCACAAACCCACAAACAACTTTTACTCTGAAGAAAGGAAATGACTCCCCCTTTGAGTCACAGTAGAAAATATACTATGAATGATCCCAACCATTTTGGAGAACAATTTGGAACTATGCCCAAAGGGCTACAAAAATGTGCATACCCTTTGATCTAGCAATAGCACTTCTAGGGCTATATCTCAAAGAGATCAAACAAATGGGAAAAGGACCCACATGTACAAAAATATACATAGCAGCTCTTTTTGTGGTGGCAAAGAATTGGAAATTGAGAGGATGCCCATCAATTGGGGAATGGCTGAGCAAGTTGTGGTATATGAATGTAATGGAATACTATTGTGCTGTAAGAAATGATGAACAGGCTGACTTCAGAAAAACATGGAAAGACTTATATGGTCTGATGGTGAGTGTAGTGAGCAGAACCAAGAGGACTTTGTACACAATAACAGCCACGTTATGCAATGACTAAGATTGTTAAACTGACCCTTTCTCAGCATTATGAGGATCTAAGACATTTCCAGAGGCCTCGGGATGGATAATGCTGTTCACATTCAAAGAAAGAACTATGGAAGTAGAATCGTATGGGAAGTACCCATATTTGAGGCCTTTTCTGCTATCACTTATTTTAACCTTCTGTTGAGTTTTGTTTCCTCTTTCTGATGGTTCCTCATATTGTTTTTAATTTTCACTTACAACTTCACTAATGTGAAAATATGTTTAATGGGTATGTAAATGTAAAGCCTATATCAGATTGTGCACCGTCTTGGGGAGGATGAAGGGGAGGAAAAGGGAGAAAAATTTTCAACTCAAAAGCATATGGAAAAAATAAAAAAAATTAAATAAAAATTAAAAAAAGAAAGAAAATATACTATGATCTGTCTTGAAGAAAAGCATCATTAAACCTAAAACTTAGACTTGAAAGATAATGACTTGTAACATCTCAATGAACCCTGCCACAGCTGGAATAACAAGTTATGAAAGTCAGCTGTCATCACAGCTGAGAAGAGGACCTGAAATCAGAGCCAGGGTTTCCTAGTGGGCAGGTCCTGAATTATAATTCCTGAGCCCCAGGACTCAACTTCCTCCTCTCCCAAAGCAAAGCCCAGGTCACCAGCAAAACTTTCAAGTTCACATGAAAGCCATGGTGGCAGGGAGGAGGGTGGTGGATGTGAACTTTGGCTAAAAGGTTTAGTGAATCAAAGCCATGGGGTCTCAGACAACTCTCTTCCAAAAACAGTTTGATGCCTTAAGCTTCTTTTTAACTAAAGGCAATGCAACTGATATCTGATGGGAATACTTCAGGACCACTTCAGGATAGCTAGAAGATATCTGCTTGGTTTCACAATAGTAGGATTTTAAAAAATACCACAACCATGATTTCACTGATGTAGAGAACTCTCACAATGTACAAACTTCCTCTAATAAAGCACATTAGCTACTATTCCTGCAACTCATCACCTGAGTTAATTATTTGGGCCAGTTTGAGTTTAAGTGACCTTCTCAGGGTCATACATCCAATATATGTCATAGATGGGGACTAGA